GACGGTTGAAGGAACAGGCAGGCTGCTGTGGGGCTACGATTTGAAATTGCAAAGTTTCGGCGAAAACGGCCATTATCCAACACGTCGGAATGGAACAGCGGCGAGAGAAATGTATGGTCGGCATTTCTCCAAGCGGTAAAAGATCGCTTGGTCAGTTCTGCCTGTCGCAGCAGCAGTGGCGCACATGAACGGTATTTGGAAAAATGGCGGGTTGGTGTTCTGAAAGGGACAGCGACGACGACGACGAGGTGCTTAATCTTAATTTATTCGCTCGCAAATCATTTGGATTTCAAGGATTTTCAGAAGAGAAAGAAAATACTTTGAAAAGCATCGTTAAGGTAGATTTTATAAAATGCTATACTTAATACAGAATAATTGGGTAGAGAATTTTAAATAGCTCGGATGAGGATTTTTTACTCTTGCGTTAACATGCATTTTACGTATAAAGCGATAAGTTTGCTTGCTATTTAGCTCGAGCGATAATTATTTTATGTTTTCTTTTTATTTTCAGCAATTTGGCGCAACGTGTGATAATTTTCCAAAATATGTATTTACCAGCGTCGAGTATTTTAATTCCTTGATGGAGAATAGCAGTCCCTTGTACAATGTAGCATTTTTTCGTGACTGCGTCGATGCCAATAGATATTTAAACATAGAGCAGTATAGGTAAAGGAAACTCATTGTCAAATAATTGTAAACAGTGTGGTCTTTATTGAACATTATTAACTCGTTGTTCCAATGTTTGTAGATTTGGAGCAAAGTGTCATGAGAAGAAGGATTTTCGTGATTTTGAACCATGCTGCGGGAAGTTAGTATAACGTTTGCAAAGCATTTGTCAATTTAAGATGTGAAATTAATTATAAAAATGACGCTTTACTTCCAAATTGCAGCTTCCATAATGGTCAAGAAGCATGCATGGTGTGCGATCCAACGGTTAAACAAGAAGCGCCTATCGTTAAACGTAGAAGAAGAATTAAGTATAAATCTAATGTGTAAGTGTCTTTGTAGTGGCTAAGGAACGCTAAGAGCGTGCGCTCGTACTACCTTGAAATTTCTTACAGATGCAGTAGAGCTAAAAGTACCAGAATAGTTAAGTTGAAAAATAAATGTACAATTAAGAGCTGGTACGTTTAAGCTTTGATAACAAGTAGACTCGTTGTCAATAATTTCTTTCTTTCTTTCCGAATGTTTCATTGTCTTAATTTTTTTGAGTCTTTTTTTGTCAATTTATCTCCTGTACGTAAAATTTATTTTTAGCCCCGTCAATTCTCGTCCACATGAGAAACATCCCAGAAGAAAGTGAGTGTAAATGAGAATGTCGGCAAAGTTGAAATATTTAAGAGCGTCATTGTATCGTTAAGATATATATTATGTTTCAGAAATATTTGGGAACCATGGGAATGTCGACTTATTCTGGATTATATAATCTGCAATAAGCAATTCTTCTGGGTAAAAAGTCCAAGCTTGTACAGGCGCATATTTTCGGAAGGCGTACGTACAATTTCACTCGTCGTTTAAAATCATAACCGTCGACCAACTCTTAATGGCACGCGCTATTTGTGTTTTAGTTCTTAACGCACAGAACACCAGAGTCCATGAGAGTATATTTCCGCACTAACATTTTGAAGTTCATCGAAACATACGATTTACCAAAGCCTGTTATGAGGATATTGAAGCAAATTCGCGTACGTATCGACTTATCTCCATAAAATATTAATAAAATATTTATTTATTTAAGTAAGCAAAAATTGATTTCAGAAAGCCACAAATGCAAGCAGGATAGACAGAAGAGAGGCTCCTTTAAACAAAAAAAGGCTAATGAAAAGGAAAAGGCAACCAGACCGTATAAAAAAGAGATTAAAAAGGCATAACAAAGCTTTAAGGTTATAGAAAGAAGAAGAAAAATCGATAGTATTACAAGTACTATACAATATTTGACAATCGATGAATTTTAACGTTTAAAGAAGAAAGTATGCTTTATAATACTTGTACAATTATTTTTGGAATTTAGTTAACTTTTAGATAACTTTTATTTTATTTTAATTTTTTCTTACATTCTTGTCTCTCACAATGGAAAGACCAAATTTTGAATTTAAAAGATTTGGGATAATAACCGCGGTGAACAAACAACGAATCGTGACTATCTTATGTATTTAATACGTGTGTGCGTAATATGCCTGGTATATCGTCTATGCATGTGTGTGTGTGTGCGTGTGTATATATACATATATATATATATATATATATATGAATGTGTGAAGTTGCGAGCGCGCGCGCGCGTGTGTGTGTGTGTTGTGTTTGCGCGTGCATGTATATATCGTCCTCGTGCAAACAATTAACATTTGTCGCAGCATTATTATACAGAAAATGAGTGAAATAAATTAAATTTATATTTTTATAATTTTTCGTAAATAAAGTTTATAAGCAAACAGCCACTGTGTCTTACGCGGATTTATTCTACCTAAATTAACCGTCCGATCCTCGCCACCTGCACGCTGATCGACAGGAACGTCGTAAAGGTGAGTGAGAAGGTGGGCGAGCCTCACTCTCGATCTCGAGATTGAATTTTCAACAAAACAAAGAAACAAACGTGGGCCAAATTTGTTTATCGAGCTTAACAGGGAAATCCTAATGGTCGGTAAGTCGATGAAATTCAATTGGTCGTTCCCAAGCCAACGAGACTCTTGCTTTTCTAACCTCCCGCTACCCTCACCGAAAAGAAACGAGGATAAGTCGCGAAGGCTTCGGTCCCAGTGGAAAGCCCTGCATACGATTGGTCGACGCGGCCGCGTGTGCGTACTTGAGAGCTGCCCGAGCGAAGTTTCTCGAACAAAATCGAACTGCCATACCGCAGGAGTAATCTTTCACTGCCGTAGTCCGTACAGTGCGCGAGTTTTTCATCGACCACGCGAACAACGGTCGCAAGTGACTTCCCTCTGGCGTGTTCTCGCTATTGACTGACTGCCTCTGTGCGGGACTCTCGAAGATCGTTTGTTCTTCGTTCGCGCCTACGCGCCAGCTACGAGCTCGCCATCCCCTAGCAGGTAATTATTATGCAATTGCAAAGCTCCTGAAATACGGGCGATTAATTTGGTGGCGGTTGCACGACCGGGGGGACAAAGAACCCCGAATGCGCGCGCGAGAGCGAGAGGGCCTGGCCTCGAGGATGAGGCCTGAGGATTCGGTGGGTCGACGATATTGGCTAAGGACGTGCACGGTGATATGCACGTTGGTAAGGCAATGATAACGACGACGACGACTACGACGACGACGACGACGACGACGATTACATTGAAATATACAAAAAAATTATTATCCTACAGCCGCCTTTCTCTCTCATTTCCTCTCTATTATATCTCCTCTTTCTCTGCCTCTGTGTGTGTCGATTTTATGTCCGTTGTCGAGTCGAACATTGTATAAAAAAAAAAAAAAAAAAAAAAAAAAAAAAAAAAAAAAAAAAAAGAGAGAAAGAAGAGTAGTCATGCTCTTACTCTCGAACGCAGCCACGCGAACTCCTGGACATCTTTCGATTATTATTCTGGGATCTCGACGACCCACGCCCACATCGTCGAAATGGGGAAAATTCGGGTGCATTTCGTAAAGGTCACACTGCACATGGTGTGCCCACTTTAAATGGACACAAATTACAATCGCTGGAGAGTCGCCTTCCCGTGTCCACAGCAATGGAGGCGTTTTCGGCGGCGCGGTAATAACGGGCATTAATTTTTCTCGCTACATAGGCCGCGAGCATTCTCGGCGTGAATTTATGCTCTCGTCTCTCTTTGTCGTACCGAAAATTTCCATCGGCATGTCCATTTTATTATGCCAGGCCATTATTCAAAGTGAAAAAAAACCAGCGATATGGAGAACAGTCTAGAAATGGCTAAAGGTTGGTTCGCTTATTTCGAGACATGAGAGCAATAGGTAGCACGATCGTGTGTGTAAGAGCGCGAGAGAGCGAGGGAGGAGGAGGAGGAGGAGGAGGAGGGAGAGCGTGAACGGCTGCGGGAGCGGGAGCGAGAGCGAGAGCGAAACAGTGGCAGCAGAGTACGACGGGACGTTGGGCGTAGGGGGACAAGGAGGTAACGAAGCGGGAAGAGTGCGAAAGTAAGAGCACACATCATATTTGTGGATCGTGTAGTAGCGAAGACGGAAAAGCCCGAGGAAGACTCGTCGTCGAATCATTGTGTAGTAGTAGTACACTCGAGCTACGCGAACTTTTGTTGCTTCCTAGGGAATATCCCAGCTGCCGTATATGTTATCCAAGGTTCGCTCGCTCACTTCCGTCGTTAACGTTGTGATATCTTAGCATAAGCCAGCATTAAGACACACTTTGGCACTTTGCTCGTTACATTTTTGGCCTTTTGACCTCGTAATAATAGATTGTAGAGTTGTAAGGACAGAAGGACGGATCGTAGGCGGCACACTGCTATCTTAACATATTAATTATTATCGTCGCTTATTTGTCGTAAGAGAAGGATGCTGGACTGGTGTCGTCTCCTTTTATTTTTAACAAACTTGAAATTAGTCAGCGAATTTTGAGGTTTAATCGTACACGGCTGTTAATACATTAGCGAAAGCAATGAGGTTCTTGAGAGTAAAAAAAGGTTTGATTTACTCTTGTCATCTACGATAGGTGGATTAATTATCGATGTTGGAGTAAGTTAACGATGTAATGTACTAGTACAGTGCAGATCGGTAGAAACACATTATGCATGTGGAAGAAATTGAGAATTCATAAAATGCGGTTTAATCACAGATTGCTTCAAGTTATATAATTAACTGGTATTTTTTTGTAAACATTGATGATTTAATATAACGCACTAAGTAACATTGCAATTTGATCCAAATTGAACTAATAAGAGTAATATTTGCATTGGTTTATATGGTTTATTAATTGATTATAAGGGTATACGATATTTCTGCCGCGTAATAATTATCCAAAATTGTATAAAAATAATCATAAGATGAAATATTTCATTAAATAATGTTTTATTGGCTATAGATAATGATCGTAAAGTAATTTCGAATCAGTGACTGCATTGACGTGCGACACATTTTAAGAAAAAAATATTGGTATTTTGTTGCAGGGCAACTTTTTAATATACTTGTCTATTGACCAAAAAATTTCTTTAAATTGAATTATACATTAAGACAAGGTGGATTACTCAGAGAACATGGTTAAAGAAACGACTTTCTATGATGTCCTTGGTGTTAAGCCTGGATGTTCACAAGAAGATCTGAAAAGAGCGTTCAGGAAACTGGCTCTAAAGTATCATCCTGACAAAAATCCCAATGAAGGAGAAAGGGTTAGTATAAAATTTATATTTCTTGAATTATTAAACGTTTAAATTAATGAGCAAATTTTTGAAAAATAAATATTTATTAAATCAATGAGTTCTCGATACATTTTTATTCGAATGACATAATCATAACAATCCTAATAATATGAAATCAAGTTTTCTTTGTATCTATGATTCCAAAGACATTCATTTGAAATGTAAATTAGTTTGTTCTATCTTCTTTTACTCGTTCGGAAAACAAAAAATTTATTAGAATTAATACATATTGAACAGCGAGTTTTTTTGTGATTTTGTGTGTGTTTTTTTTTTTTTTTTTTTTTTTTAAAGATTTATATAAAATGAGGTCGAATTTATTTCACAGATTATAATATTGATGTGTAACTTGAATAAACTTTAAACTGTGAAATAAGAAAATCATTGGAGTAATATTAAATTGTATTTATAATTATAATTCTTAATAAGCTTAACTCTTAACTAAACTTTTTTTCTCGTTATGTTAATTAATTAACGTTATCGGTTTTTCATACATTGTTTAAATCCTCCTTTTTTTTTTTTTTTTTTTTTTTTTTTTTTTTTTTTTGTGAATCTTCACCACACTACGAGGTTGGTGAAAAAAATCGTTACATATTTAAATAGGGCATTAAAATTAATTGACTATTTGATTAATTAAGTAATTAAATAATTCCTCATCATTTATGAATTGCAATTGTTAATGGCATAATAAAATTAAATAATTAAAGTCCCATTTTGTATAAGTAAAGTTGTTAGCAGAACTTTAATCACATACATTTCTATCACTTACCTCGCAGTTCAAACAAATGTCACAAGCGTACGAAGTACTCTCAAATCCGGAGAAAAAAAGGATTTACGATGCTGGTGGTGAACAAGCCCTCAAGGAGGGTGGTATGAGCGCTGCTTCGTCGCCTATGGACATCTTTGAGATGATATTCGGTGATGGGCGCAGGAAGCGAAGAGGTCGCGATGTCGTTCACCAACTCTCAGTTTCTCTGGAGGAACTTTACAAGGGTACAGTGCGCAAATTGGCTTTGCAGAAAAACGTCATCTGTGACAAGTGCGAGGGCATTGGTGGTAAAAAGGATGCAGTGGAGCAGTGCAGAATGTGTGAGGGTACAGGTTACAAAGTTCAACTTCAGCAATTGGCTCCTGGTATGATGCAAGAATATCGCAGCACTTGCAGCAAGTGTAAAGGTCAGGGTGATCACATTAAATCAAAGGACCGCTGTCCTCAGTGTCTTGGCAAGAAAACCATTAGAGACAGAAAAATACTGGAAGTATATATTGACAAGGGTATGATGCATTCTGAGAGAATTGTGTTTACGGGTCAAGGTGACCAAGAACCTGACAGAGAGCCAGGAAATATTGTTATTTTGTTGGAGCAGAAGGAGCACGATGTTTTTGTGTAAGTTTAATCATTGTCGTTCATTTTGCTTTAGTGTTTAAATCTAGATTTAAACAAATTGTCTTAAATCTATTGGATATAGGGACTTTAAAAATTCATTTAAATAACTAATAAACTAAAATATTGACTATTTAAAAATATTAACCATTACACGCATTTTAAAGTATTTAACTCGGACTCGAAAATTCATTAGTTCATTTATAAGAATATAAATGTGATTAGTTATAATAAGATATTTAACATTAATATAATTGAATGAAGTTGAATTAAATGTTAATAGTAAAAGATAAAGGACTTAAGAATATGTAAAAACTTTAAATAATTTTAACACTTTAACGACATTTAAATACTTTATATCTCTAATTTATTGAAATTTCTTTTTCAAATTTTTCTTTCATTCTTTCATTTTATAAAATCTTGCGCTCGTTACTGTAAAGCGCATTTCAAAGTCGATTGGCCTTATTTTACATATGTGCTTCCCTAAACTATGCGACTTTATCGTACTAATTAATGAATAATGCAAATTTGAGCTACTAACTAACTAGAATTATCCAATGGAATATAAATTATAAACGGGAGAAAGAAAAGAAGAAGAATATCCAAATTACAAAGTCCATGATATTCAAATAATTTTATCTTCTTTAGTTTGCCAAATAAGTAGTTATAGAGAGGGCTGCAATTTGATATTGTCGATAGCTATTAAATTAAATTAAATCTATGTGTGGATCGAAAGCCTCGGGCTGTATCAGCTTTCCTATATCAATTTACCAAAATTGTATAAGTTGTGTATAACACGCGCAGTTGACATCATAGCGTAATTTTAACTTGCAATACATGGGATATTTGGAAGTTAATTAATTGTAGATATTCAACCGAATGCTTATTAATGGCAACGATTAAGAAAAGAAAAAAGAGCACGGTTGACAATAATTGCTTGTACGTACACCTTGTAAATGCTTTAAACACCGTTTAAATGTTTTGAACAGGCGATCCAATAACGATCTCAAAATGCGTATAAACCTACAACTAGTCGAAGCCCTCTGTGGCTTCCAGAAGGTAATCCAGACTTTGGATCAACGGAACCTCGTGATAACGTCCCACCCCGGTCAGGTAGTGAAGGACTCGGACATAAAATGTATCCCATGCGAGGGTATGCCCGTGCACAAGGATCCGTTCACCAAAGGCCGTCTGATCATTGAATTCAGGGTCAATTTTCCAATGGTCATCGACCCCTCCGTCATTCCCACGCTCGAGCAATGTCTGCCACCGAGGGAGGAGGTCATCGTCCCGTACGGCTCAGAGGACTGCCCGCTCATGGATCTTGACACCGACTACGAGGAGAGAGAAAGGGATGGGCATCAGCACGTACACGCACACGATGAAGATGAGGGTGGCTCATCGCGAGTTAAGTGCGCCACGAATTAATGGGGCTAACGACTCCACCAACACTCTTCCACCTCTCCAACACTGCTCATCTCACTCGCGTTGTACAAGAGTTGCGATTATCATAATGATGATGATGATGATGATGATGATAATGATGATGATGATGATGAAAATGATGATGACAGGATTATTCGAGATGTTTAAGGACCGAGTAGAAATTTCATTATTATGGCGTACGTCACTTATCGGAAGGTTATGTTTAGGGCTCCCGAGTGCGAAATTACCTTTTTCGTTTTGCGTTAAATTGTTTGTTCAGAGTTTCTGGGGAATGATAAATAGTTTTCAGCTAGATGGTTGCTTTAGTGATATACTCTGTTCATTCCGTCGTATTCTCATAGACTGAGGGTCCTTAATGTTTGTGCTTGAATGAAAGATTTTTGTATACAGATACGTTTAACAAGCGGTATTACTCCTTGTGAAAGAAGTATTGTAAAAAAAAAAGAAAAAAAAAATTATTTGTATACAATAAGTGCATAATTAAAAAAAACTTTTGATGCTATCTATACTGTATATTCTTCATAGTGAATTTTTATTTATTTATATTATTTTTTTTTTTTTTTCTACATCGTTCAAAACGAAAACGGTAATTTCGAGAAAAGAGCTTAAGAAGACTTGCTTATGTAACTTGGTTAATCAATAATATTAATTTGATAAAATCTTAATAAAAAAAAAAATAATAAAGGAAAATTAAAAAAAAATTAAGTTTGTGAACCTGTAACTGTAACCTCATTGAAACTAAACTTTGGTAATCATTGTTTGCTGCGGTTGAGTATGTATTTATAAATGTTACTCTCGTTACATTGCTGAACAAAATAACAAACGAGCGAACAAAAGACAAAAAATAAGTAAATAAAGTTCAGTGAGAGTGAAAGTAGATCGTGTGTGTAATGTGGTTAACCAATCCTGGATCGAATTGGAAGCTTAGCTAAAACGATTATTGAAAACATTATTATAAGGCAATATTACAAGTACTTCAATTTTATCGTTTTGAAACCAAAAGAAGTCTAACTGGCCCGTTCAAACGGTATAAAAATTTCTACTTGGGAGAGAAAGAGAAAGAGAAAGAGAGAGAGAGAGAGAGGGAGAGAGAGAGAGAGAGAGAAAAAAAACAAAAGCAAATAGCCATTTTTCATCTCGTATATACGCAATACACGTACATGCATTAGTTCATTTTCGATTTTTTCACATATTACGAACGGACACTTTCGCTGATATCGATGACGTTGTAGACTAATTTATTTAAATCTCTCCGTCGAAATTTCTTGTTACATTTTAAGTTTTTAATCCAATAAGCACGGAATATATTTTTTAAAACGTTATTTATAATAATACTTGATCAACTTATTGAAATAATATATCATGCTGAAGAATTTTATTTATATAAAAGTTAATTTAGTAATCTTTTCTTAATAAAGTTATAAACACGAAGACGGTCCCATTAATACAAATTGATTTTATAGTATTTCAATTTGTTAAGTTACGGAATTAGTTAAGCGATAAAGGGAAAATGGAACTATAATATCCATAAGGTTTTGATAGCTATAATTTTTCAAGCGTCTGCATCATATCTTGCAAGAACATCGTCCTCTTTACCAAGTTACTAAATCCAAAATATTACAGTCCAAAAATAATATTAGAAAAATGGTGGTAAATAAAGTAAATAAATTTTGGACATTCCTATGTACAAGAACTTGAGCTATTTTTCATTGTCCTTTTAGTTAATTGTATATTAATTTTCAATGACATCTTCTTTCTTGATTGACGTTCAAAATGACATTTGACTATGCAAGTTCTTCGCGCTTGTCTAGTGCAAATGTAGATGTGAAAAGTGTAATTGTTAAATTGCTAAGTCAACTACATTTATGCTAAACAAAAATCGAAGAAATATCAGATGTTCTACTGTAATAATATTGTGTTGTAACACTATGTGTCTAATATTAGCTAGATGCTATAATTATTAAAAGCATATTTGAAATACGAAGAGTAAAGTTTATCATCAAAATTCAAATATATGATTATATATATATATAATTTTTTTTTTTTTTTTTTTTTTTTTAATTTTATTTTATTTTATTTTTATTTACCTCGATTTTTATGTATACCCACATTTAATAATAATTTTGATTTTCATAATGAAAAAATAAGTGTCATGTAATAGGCACCTGAATAAATTATTCCGAATCGATAATCTTTAATCAATTTTGTAGAACCTGAATTCACAATGAAATAGAAATAAAAACTGTACACTTAAAATTTCGTTTTACCTGTTGTCTTATATTCTTTATTGTTTTTTTTTTTATAGGATTTCAGAACATTTTTGTAATCTTTAAATTAAATAAAAATTTATCAATACTAGCTAATTTTTTTTTACATTAAAACCACTTTTACATGGTGAGTTTCAAACAATGAATGCTTGACGCGTCTCCATTGTACCTATTTAATTGCTTAAGTAAGTTAAGTTTTGATTGTTTGATATGAGCTGTATGTAATTCGTACAGTATACAAATATTTGAAAGTACGACTTCTTGCAAGCTTTTCGCTGGATTCTGCACAGTCACCATATTTTCCATCAATTCTATAGCAGCTTCGAGTTTTCCTATATAAAGCAAGCACACTGCAATATTATTTAGTAGCATTACGTTGGATGGATCAAATTCTAATGCTGCCTTAAAGTAGTTCAATGCCTCTTGAAAAGTATTTTGAGCCACTGCCATAAGTCCTTTATTTACAAGCTCTTTAATGTCATTTTTTTTATTGTCCCTGTCAAGCATAGTAAATTGTTTTTCAGCTGCTGTAACGTCTCCTAAAGACAAATATAGCCTACCGATGGCTGAGTTAAGAATCTCGATTTGACTCTTTTTCCACTCGGATGAATTTAAAAGCTGCTCCAGTACTTCTCTCGTGAGAACATAATTTTTTATTGAAAAGGCACAATTCACTATCGATACCAATGTCCTGCATTTCCTTGTCTTCCACAGCCGAATAGAATTATCTTTCTCTTCCTTATTAAACTTGGCGATTCCACCTTCTTCGGACAAACCGCTTTCTAAATTGCGAATAATTTTTTTTATCGTAGCAAGGACTGCGTACAAGTTATCAATGGCACGCTTCCCTTTGCCACAGTACATTGGAATTTCTGCCAGTAACAGTCTAAATGCAAATGACGCCATGGAACCAGGTCTTGTACCGTATAATTCTGGATAAAATATAAAGTACATGTCTGGTTTGTCGAGGTTATGAAATGGTGTGGATTCGGTTTCCAATATTTCTGTTTGCTTTAATTTTGTCAGCAGTGCCAATCTTGTGAACCACAACTGAAGAGAATGGGGTGTGTGTTTACTCGGATGATTTATCCTTCCGTAGCCTTGACCATACACCGCAAGAAGTCTCCCAGATAAATTTATCGCCGCTCTATAACACTTTTCTTTAATTAAGGAACGTAAACCTCTCTCATCCTGTGAAAAAAATACGTACAATTACTATTTGCCAATTAGGTTGTTTTTTTTTTTTTTTTTTTTTAAATATAAGTTCAATTATATTAATTTGTAGAAAATTATTAGACTTAAAACTTGATTACAATAATGTAAATAAAGTATATTTAGAAAACTGAAACAATTTTGTAAGCCCACGATACAAACTGAATTTATTAAATACAATAAGATTAAGAGAATCAATAGGTTAAAAGTAAAAATATTACAATTTACAAAAGACAAAATGCACATTTACTATACACTTTTGTTTTTTAATTAGTGGAAAAACTTGCTTGGACTAATTGTTTTAGTCATGTTCATAGCGTATGGTAAAAACTGATTGAGCAAATCATTCTAATGATGGCTTTTACTTAATATTAGTATAAGCGTATCGATCTAACATTTATCCAATATTTACTATGATTTTATAATTTACCTGCGTAACATCCGACAATGTCGAGACAGTCCTATTTAACGTCTCTTCTTCACCTAAAAAATATGTCACAGCTTCTTTTATAGGATCTGACATTTCTTCGTCTAAAGCAAGCCCGGGCATCGTCAGATTTTCCCTATCTAGATGATTACCTCCGTGAGCAGAGGTAGCAATTGCACGTAGTGTCTTTCGAGTATTGTCAGAAGGAATCCAAGCATCGCGATGAAAATCATTGATGGATATATGCTCGCTGGATTGATCTTCGAACGGAGAATCATTCTCAAAAATATTACCCGATGGTGTCCCAGAGGGCAAATTAAACGTAGTCGTATTCATTGTGAAAATATCTGGATTATTGGATGAGACAATTTCATCAAAAATAGTGGGTTTACTACTGTCAAAGTATCTACACAAATTCGCTGATGCAGATTCCTCATCTTCCATTGCTTTTGGATTTATTTTTATCTGAAAAACTGTAAAGTAAACTTAAATGTTTATCGTCTTTTTTTATTTTGTTTATTCCATATTAGTTTAAGGCATTGAGATTTACTTTATGTATATCTTATAGTACCAATTCCAAGCAAATTATAACTACTTAACAATTAATTAAAAGGGCTATTTTTTTTTTTTTAAACCTTACTAATTTATTTTTATTGATTATAAGTTGATGACTTGTTTTAAATTATACATTTTCATACATTGTACTTACAATTTAATTCGCACACCTTAGAGCAACCAATTAATTAATTATTCATTGTTGAAACGGTCATGATAATTATCCCAAATCAATGATAAACGTAAACAAATACCTAAACGCCTAAAGCGCATTTGACATTGAGCTTATGAGCTACGATATAATGTCATCGTCATAGCCACACGTACGTTTCTTTGTGTAAAATTTACTGGGAATTACTTGTTCCCGACAGTCACTCGACACGAGCAAGAAACCGTATTTTTTTTCACAATCGCGTGCATTTAAAAATGAGACATTTTAACTCGTTTAGAATTATTTTTTAATTAACCGATACTGGCATTTCGGTAAATAAAATGAAAATATTATTTGAAAGTCTGTAGCCACAAAACGTTTTGTATATTTTCCAGGATTGACGAGATTCCAGGATTCCCAGGTAAGCCAAAAAAAAAATACTGAGAAAATTTATAATCCTTGTAAACGACTTTATGTCGAACGGTTATAATACTATTAAGGACTGTTATCGATTAGCGTATTAATGGTGCTCTTTATATATTTAGCGAAATAAATCTCCTTCTTCGCTCGATACCCAAAATACCTAAAAAGGCAGCGGCGACTCGGGTCTCGTCCCTGCTAATTGGGCCCACAATTAAGCCAAACAAACGTGTACCATTGTTTTATCAATCCTTGCGCGGATTAGCGAAGAGAGATAGATAGATAGATAGATAGATAGATAGATAGAGAGAGAGAGAGAGAGATTAGATACAAAGATCGGAACTTGGACCAATTTCTCACCAGATCCTGCCTCGATGTCGGAGCTTTTCTTTAGAAGCGAGCAACCGCGTCATCGCGATACCCAATTATCTCATTAAATAGCTTTTTATATTAAATTATCGATGTAAGTGAGTATGGTAATAAACCGCATCGGTATTATGATTATATTTTAACAGATTGCTAATATGAATTGCGAAAGGAGGTGTTTATTTCTTTTTAAATTTTTACTTTAAAATTTTCACATTGTCACAATTAATTATATATAATATCCTTAATAATCAATCTCTGCAAGATTAACCGTAAATACCAAATAAAGGATAATCGATGACAGGCTATCATTTATTTATTTTTTATGCTTTTTCCGAATGTTATAGTAATTTCCATACAATTATGTATAATAACATATTGTGCAAAAGTATATACACATATATATATATATATATATATATATTGTTTATAGTTTTGTAATTGAAAATGTCAAAGTTGTATGAAAAATCCAAGCTAAACATACTGAAATTTGTAAATTGTGTATGATGTAAATGTGAAAAAATATATAACAAATTTAAAGGGATAATCATACGGTTCGCTCGAGAGAGTTGCAAATGAAAATTAAAAAATAAATACAATCAGGCGGTTTTGTCAATGAAATTTAATTTATCGTATTATTTTATGGTAGAGCATTTTTATCTCAACGTATTATTATAAAATATCTGAGAATATATATATAGACGAAGTAAAAAAAAAAAATCATTATCCTTAATTCCAATAATATTCATTCAATACCGAGACAAATGATATATTTAACGATCGTTAACAAACCTCATCTCCCTTAAAATGAATCGCACATTAAAATTAAATAATATATTAAAATAATCGTCCAGAATAGATTATTAATATAATTTTACAATTTTTCGCCAGAGAGAAATCTCGTCAATAATAATGTTTAAATGTCTCGTTGTCCTAACGCGCGGTTGCCTTTCGAAATTGCCACTCGCTCACCCATCAGCGCGTTTCCCTTTCCAATTCCATAGCAAAACGATATTGTGAAAAGCTCAAAGTATCAGCACGTGGCCAGTGGCTTCCCGTTGTTTCCCTTACCTCTATCTATTTATTTCAAGTCTTTACCTCGCAATTCCGTGGCGCCGCTAATTTTAAAATATGCCAGCTCAAGTTAAAAATAATATATTACATTACGAGGGTTGCAATTATCTCAGGTACAGGCTGATATTGTCGACTTTAGCGGGAAAGCCAGTGAGAATAACATGCATAAGACCCGCTGACAACGATCCCGGACTCAGAGGTTAGATTAAGCATTCATTGTAAATTTCATTGTAAAAAGTATGGGATTTATGATTAATTGCAGAGTACGAGATAAGCTTCGTAAGGTTGTTGGATAAGATTACGAATGGCTCGAGAATTGAATTGAACGAAACAGGTACAAGTTTGTATTATAGTCCTGGATTATTGGTAGGAGGACAATTGGATCACGATTGCAGTTTGCAAAGGGGTATCGGTTATTATCTTGAGGCAGTTATATGCTTGGCTCCATTCTGCAAATCATCGCTAAGTATAAAGCTCAGAGGTGTTACCAACAATAATGATGGTGAGGTTCTAAATCAATTTTTGCCCTAATAACTAGAGACGCATTGTTTATTAAATGGATGTACAATGTTTTTCTTAGATCCGAGCGTAGATAGAATTAAAACGGCTTGTATACCGGTTCTTAAAAGATTTTTAGCCGGAGATAACGAAGTTACATTTAATATTAATAGAAGAGGTGTAGCACCATTAGGAGGAGGAGAAATTTATTTTAAATGTCCAATCAGTAAATTTGTTAAATCGATTCAGGTTGTGTATGCAATTTCATTTCTTCTCCTACTCCTTTAAATCCATTAATTATCGCAACATTATAATATAACGTATGGTTAATGCATATTTAGTGTCTAAACAGTGGTATGGTGAAAAGAATAAGAGGAACGGCCTGTAGTTTAAGAGTGTCTCCTGCCATTTCTAATCGTCTAGTCGAATCGGCAAAAGGGGTTTTGTTGCAATTTATTCCAGACATATATATTTATACGGATGCCAGCAGAGGAGCATCTAGTGGAAAATCTCCAGGTACGCGTCATAAGAACAAACGACATTTGCTTCATTCGACATTTAACATATTGATATAGTTGCGCGTGCAAACGTTATTGAGATATTTTTTTTTTTTCATGAAAATTATAGATTAAAAAATTATAATCTAGATAAAAATATGTGATTTTTGAAATTTTCACAATTAACTGAAGCAAAAATATTGAAAATATTCATAAATATGCATTTATGTCAATAAATATGGTCATACGTTCATTAACGATTCTAATGTAATAATTGTTAAATTAATTTAATTGTCAATTTATTTATGAAAAAGGATTTGGAATTAGCCTAACTGCTGAGACAACGACCGAAACTTTTTATAATGGAGAAGCGTATTCCCCATTGATGACTGCAGGCTCTCTGCCTTGTGTTCCCGAAGATTTAGGTAAAGAAGCGGCACTGAAGCTTCTGGATGAAATTTATAGGTAAGTGTAGAAACGCGAATCTTATATAAAATTGTAATAAATACTATAATATAAAAGTAAAGTTATTCTATTATATTACTCTGATATTGTATTAAGTACAAACGATTGCATTGATATTATTAGCAGAATCCACAATTTCCAGCGAACATTCAATCACGATTAAATTTAATAATTTTTCTTTAATTAATTTTTCTTCTTTTTTTTCTTTCGGTTTATTATTTCGAATGAAGAAACGGTTGCATAGATTCAGCATTTCAAAGCATGACTGCACTTTTTATGGCTCTTGGTAAAAAAGATGTGTCAAAAATAATTGTAGGACCATTGACTCCAGCTACGTAAGTAAAGTTTTTTCTTTTCTTTTTTTTTTTCTTTCATTTTTTTTTTTTTTTTTAAATTATAAGACAGTTGTAAAATATTTAATGATAAGGTTCAAATATCTTGCAGAATACAATTTTTGAGGGACTTGAAGGATTTTTTTGGAATAACATTCAAATTAGAGAATTATAAAGATGAAGAAAATATAGAACAACGTCAGATATTGCTCACTTGTATTGGCATTGGGTATTCTAATATAAGCAGAAGAGTTTTTTAATTAAGTCGTTTGTTTTTGACAAAAATGTATAAATATGTATATATTCTCTTCGTAAATAAGGCAAACAAATTTTTATTGTTTAAAAAGAGTAAAAATGCTTAAAAACGAGTAAGCTCCTATTGAAGTAGTAAATGAATTAACATTTTAACATTTCAGAAAATTGTTTTATCGTTTATACAGAATATTATAAACAAATTTCGTAAATTGGTAAATCTTATTGCTAATTGTATACGATTTATTAAATTTTTCGTGTAATTTTATGGAAATAAAAGAAGAATTCATTTAGCGAACTTTACGCACTTATCTTAGAACGATTGAATTGGAATGTCAAAACTACATATTAATCGAATATTTTATTATTTAATAATTGTACAAACATACTAATACTGCATAATTCAAATTGTAAATGTAATTGTAAATATAACAATTATATATTTTAATAAATTTTTCTAAATAATAAATTATAAATTCCTACTTTCAGACAAGTTTTCATGACAAGGTTTCAGTAAAATAATAAACAATATATATTCTACTTTTTAAATTATGTAACTAATTATTAAAATTAAAATATTAAATTGTAGATAACATTTATCAAAAATAAGACATTTCTCGAAACATAATATGGCCGACAGATTAAATTATATAGAAATCGACTACACGCTAAGATCAACAACAATCTATTCCATTACTGTTATGGTAAAAAATAATGTGTTTATATTTATAAATAAATTATTTAATAGCTAGCACACAATAACATTAAAACAGAATCAAAAAGATAAGCATTCTTGTAGATACAAAGGTTTCACAGGCCACGCATGAAATACTTTTAACGTATCTTTCCATAAATTTTGATAACACAACGAATACTGTTTATAATGAAAATACATTATTTTTTTTGGATGCTGTAATTGTTTAGCATCAAACAACATATCGTAAACTCTTAAAAATGTTTTGAACAATTCTTTTCTGCTAATCAAAAGACTAGAAGAATTTTTTTTCTTTTTTGTTGCTCCTTGTTTAATGCCGTTTACTGCAATTTCAATTTGTCTAAAAAATGTGTACACGATATATATATATATATATATAGTAAACGATTTTTTAATAAAATGATTAATATAACTTATAAATCATATAAAATATACCTTTCTGGTACTTCGCACCAAACAATACTCGATGGACAAGGTTTGCATCTTAAACAGCCATGCTTTCTCGATTCAAACGACAATTTTGACTGCGTAATGATCGGATGTTTGATCTTTGTATCAAATCTTCTAGAAATTCCGCGTTGCATCGATTCAAAAGAATAAGGACAGCCTCCGCCAATAATTATCCTTTCAAATCTTATGGAAGGGATCATTAATGATAACAGTGCACCTTGTACTCCCATGACATTCCACCTTGTGTAATTAAATATTTCATTTCTACGATTTTTTTTTTTTTTTTTCAATTATACATTCAAGGAATTATTAGCCAACTTACAATTGCATATTATGTAAAATTTTCAATTAATGATTAAGCAATTATTTGATATATCGATAATTCTATAAAAATGCTCCCATCTGTCATAAAAGAATGTTGTAATAGTATTTGGTTGGAATTAATTTCTTCTTCGTAAATGATTTCAATGTTTTTCTATACGATATTTTAAATTTTTATTTTTACTCTATTTAAAAAAGCGAACAAATGTGAAAATGTAGAAAAAAAAATTGGCAGAATGAACAGTTCCATAAAATTGTCTCTACAATGCATATTGTATTTGAAACGAAAGGAAAATCTGTGCATATGAGAGCAATGTTTTTTAATGAAAAAATTAACTTATAACAATGTAAAATATATTGGAAATATGTTGTATTGAAAATGGAAAAAGTGTTCTTAAAAAATACTAACTTTGCTATTTTATCGGAGCACGATAAGCTAAGAGTTCTATCTCCTCTGCCAGGTTTAGTCCTTAAAGGGCCGACGAGATGATAATTCACTCCATCCTTCCTAGGATCCTGCCTATTTTCACTCTCTACACATTTAGCTCCCGTTCTATATATATCTGTTACTTTTAAACCATATTCTACTTCGATGTCAATACTTTCTCTTTTTATTCTCTTACAAGAGCTCGCAGAGTCATCAAATTCATTGCTTAGTTTTGGAATTATGGAGCAATCACCGCATGGCGTCTGACTGGAGTAAAAATAAAAAGACACATCATTCAACTTGACTTTATTGTCTTCCAAGTAAAAAATATCACATTTCTGATTTCGAATTAGCAATTCAATTTGATTATACAAATAGCGGAGAAATGCACGACGAGCTAATATTTCAGCGTGAGAATCACTCAGTCTATCACCGCGTTCCTCGTATCGCGTATTCCTCAATTCCATTCCACTGAGACATTTCGTTCCCGTACATAAACTTACAACGCACAGTTTTTTAGACACCTTTTGTAACACTACACCAGATAGAACGGTCCATTCATTTTCAGACGGTTTGCCAGTTTTCTTCAATGAGGCATATTTGTCTAGACAGAGTTTCGCAACCTCATCATCTATGTTTCCCATATTGTTATTTAGAAATTAGAATAAGAATTGCATTCTATGTCCGTAAGATATAATTATTATTCTTTTGTAAATGTTGTCGTATCCAGCGTAAAGTAATAATAATTTCACTCTATCATTGGTAATTTCAAAGTCTAAGTTGTTATAAAAATCTTTTACGTGCTCAACTTTCCAAATTTTTGGTATTATAACTGAAACAATTGATAAAATAAAAGGTAATTACAATTTCATTTTAATATATTCCTCGCAATGCCCACTTTAATACAATTTTATTTTGAATTTAATTTGCAAGCAATTGTTTTAACGATGAATAAGTTGCATATGAATACACTGCTTTTTGCAATAATCGGTTGGTTAATTTTGCATAAAATGTGGAAGTCGTTTGATCTACAAAAAGCAATTACATTAAATTTTTCAGATAGTAAGTACTTTAAGATGGAAATTATTAGCAAAGAACATTTTTTATAAAAGAGTTTTCATTTAGCCGAACCTATGTACCTACGTAGCTGTGCATCTCTAATATATAAAATTCATTGTAAGTTCTCTCAATCTCACATATATTTCATTCTTATCGTTATATATATATATATACATATATATATATATATATATATATATATCTTCATTATCGTAAAAGTTACGTATTGCTTTGTATTGTAAAATTTAACTATTGCTTACAAAATTCTTTTTTATTTCAATAACTTCTTACTTTTATGGTCTGTTTTAAGTTGAATCAAAGTTGTCAATCAATCCTCTAAATACCCTCAACTCATAATTGAGAAATTGGAGGTGAATTTTCAAATATTCTAGTTTATAGCTTATGTGTGAACATCGAGTGAAGAAGCCCTTCATTCAGGAGCCCTTGAATGATTTTTAACAAATTTTCTAACTTTGTCCGAATAACTATTATCTTTTGCCAATATAAAGTAGTTTATCGTAGACAAAATGACCATAATTAAAACGTTAGTTTTAAAACAAAATATAAGATATTAAATAATTATATATTTTATGTAACCGCATTATGTGCACAAATTTCTGAAAATTTGTAAATATTGAATTAACATTCCTATTAACCGATTAATCTCAGCCCAACGTACAGCCTTTCATCAAGAGCTCGATTAATTATTTTGACAGACATTTATTATATAAATTCCAACTGAAAATAGAAACTACATCGCACTGTTAAATTCCATAAAGAATATTTATATTATTTATAAGCACTAATGATATTAAATACAGTAATTTGAGGTTGACACACAACCAACAAGTGGCATATCCACATCCATTTGATAAACGAATACATTGATTGGATAACAACATTATTACGATTATAAATATTTGATTTTATCGATTAATTTTCAATAATACTTCGATTATAACGAATTTATCGTTAATCATGGGAATTTAGACGCCTACGTCTAACAATAGGAAAATTATTATTAAATTATAAGATGATTTAGCCTATTCAAATGTAATGCACTTCAGCGGCTAATTTGAAATTACTAAACCCAACAATACAAAAAATAATTAAACTAAGCATTATTCATATAACACGTATATTTAAATGAAGTAATGTAATATTAATTATTAAGAGTTAGACAGTTATTCTAGGCCAAATAATATAATTGATTTTTCTTTCGCTCGTATATTATTTTCATATATATGTATGTACACACAAATAAATTAATTAATTAATTTATAAACATATATTAATTCAGTTTTACCACTTATATAAATGTAGGGATAAAAATAATCCATTTTTCATGAGACTATTTTTACTTTAACATTGTTAAAAAAAATCTCTTTGATTATCTGGCTCGAACTGTCATTAATTAATTTCCTGCCCGCCTCGGCGGATGCTTAGCTAATGACGTAAGTGGAAGGGCTCTAGAGATGTACAGTGCGTGCAAACTTTGTTATTTTTATTATAAAACATCGTTTATTTTGGTTTATCGACAATTACATTATCGTTGATTCTGAATTGACATCTCATGGATCAGAATGTGAACTATGTTCTATCATAACGATTTAGTTGATCGTTGGTGAATGGTGAGGATGTCGTTGACGTATCGTTGTAAGGATCAGCAATGGATTGTGTACACTCCTTGAATGGTAATATAGTTTCGTCTTGTGGTCTGTGCTGACGTTGTCAGAGATTAGAAGGGAGAGCCGACGACCATCCTCGTAAAGGGAGTTGAGAATTTTGTTGGTAATTAGCTTCGATAGAGACTACTGGTAAGCCTTCATCCGACTCGAAGGACCAAATTTTCGAAACTGTTTGATTTCTTGTCTCGACCCTGCCAATATTTCGATAGCTTCGTAATAAATTGCCGTTCGCCCTAGGAGATGCTTGGCAAGGAGTCGAGTGGAAGGGCTGTAGAAATGTGTAGTACCCGCGGACTTCCTTAACATATGGTTTTATTAACACTTACATTAGTAATGAGCTGTATTCGCTTATCATAGAAGAGTGTAAACTCTGTCGTTTAACATTGATGTGGTTGCTCTTTGATGGTGACGATGTTGTTGCTGATTTTGTAATGATCAGCCATGGATGTTGCATGCCCCTTAGTAAGAAGTATGCCCATTATTGTGTAGATGACGTGACGTCCGCTAATGTTATAAGGATTAGCAGGGATGTGCACATACTCCTGGAAGGACACGGTGGCGACCGAATGATTGTAAGGAATACCTTGATACTATGCTCGTTGTAGCCGTATAGTAGGCGTATGGCGGAAAGCACTGGTTGAATAGCGTAGTTGAATAGCGTAGTTGATCATTGATAAAGAGGGACTAGCGATGCTGAGAGCCAACCGTCTTGAATGTCGTTTCAATCCCAAACATTCAGCTCGCCATCATCAATATTGTTAATGATTATTGACCTTCCTCAGCAATTGGTAGCACTGCACATTTTATGCATTGGTCTTATCATGGTGGTCGAAGCTGTTCTTAATGTAACCACTCCAGTAGTCAGTCCATCCCTACTAGGATGGATGTCGATAACTCGAGCGAATGGCCACTTTAGCGTTGAAGCGCAGTAATGCTAGTCGTAATGTTAATTGATTAGTGCACGGATAAGATAAATGAGCGCCGGTATCGCCAATTGTGATGCTTCGGGAAACCCATGTTGTTCTATGTGTATGGTGGACGTCCGTGCAATGGCAATGTCTCGTCCCATTGGAGCTTGTGCAGCCACAGTTACCGCATGAATATTTTTTTCCTTTATCACGACAGGTGGCACAAAACCTAATGGGCCAAGCATCTAAGCGACTTCGGATAACGGGACAAATTAGGGGGAAAATCAGTGAAGGTAAATAAAATGGATAATTAATGGATGGGATTGATCTATCATTTACTCATCGGTTATTAGAACAAGAAGACGAGGGTCGGAGTTAAAAAATAAGAGGTATCGGGAAATGCTAATATTACTTTCTCACTGTAGCATTTCTTTAATAATGCACAACTAATTGAACGAGCTTTTATTATAAGGATTTTTACACAGTCATCTCTTTTTAATCATTGCATATCACAATTTAAAACTTATAATATATTATATATACATGCGTGCGCGCGCGCGTGTGTATGCGTGTACATTTATAGAAAGTCGAAATACTATTATTAAATCAACTTTTTTTACATCAACTGTCATTTGAATCATAATTGACACAATTGCATTTTTTTTTTTTTTTTTATAATTAATACTTTATTATAAAATACAGTGAAATTTATAAATATCATTCAAAAGAATTCTGTCCATTCAAAATAGAATCCTAATAAATATTGATATGTTGCAAACTCAAGATGTTGCATTATGTAAACGAATGGTTGCGCTCATATTATTATGATTGTGAACTACATCATAGAACGCGCCGAAAGCCGTTAAATTTATGAATGTTTCAATTTTTAATAAATTACAAGAAAAGTGTGAGTTCTATTTAATGCGCTAAGAGTAGAATTGAAGTATAAAAAAAAAAAAAAAAAGCAATTCATTTGAAAAACCTGTAAAAATTCTGTCAATTGATTATTAATTAAATTATAGTACGTGAATTCTAAAAACTAAAACAAAATTGCATTATTATAATATTTTCATGATACTTTTATAATTAACCTGTAGTATATTTAATGTACAATACAAGTATCACATCGTTAAAGATTATAATTTCAAATATATTTTACACGAAGAAGCTGATTGATTATGTTTTCACTAATTCTTTTCATATATTACGCCATTTGTTTGTTTTTTTAACATTTTCAAAAATATAAAAAAAAAAGTCCATCTCTTTGCTTTTTATGTTTAAATCTACGAGAACGCATAATAACACACATTACATGATTAAAGTTGTTGGAATCATTTGTGTAAGTTGTGCAACACTGAAGTTTTATACGAATTCGAGTAGAAATAAATAGATAATAAGGTCAGATATAATAAAATTAATTACGAAAAAACTGCTCCATGAATCTTTATTCTTCGTCAATACGTAGTGATAAAACCTTAATGAGAGTATAATCGAATATACTTGTAATTCGTTTCTTTAGCATCATTAAAAAAAAAAAAAAAAAAAAAAAAAAAAAAAAAAAATTATGGGTAAGGCTACATTTTTTTTTCAAGTAATATATAAACAAATTAGCGATTAAATGTGCATTTACTTAAAATATAATTGCAGAAGAAACATGATATTTTTTTTTTAAATTTATGAATTTCAAATAATATAATTTTCTACAAATATGAAATAATATTATAAAGATGAGAAGAAAAAACGAGAGTTTTATTTAATTATAACGAGACTAACATTTTATTTATAAAATAATAAGATGTATAAATGTAAGTATTATTAAACTACGTGATAAATGCCGAAGAACTGCAAAAGAAGTTTTATATATATATATATATGTATATTATGGCTATTTAAAAAATTATTTAAAATTTTTTATTCAATTTCATGTAGAATTCGATCAAAATTCGCATACCAATTGAATAAGAAATTTATGAGTTACATTATAAATTATAAAATTTGTAGAACACTAGTTGATTATTCAAAGAATTAGAAGATCTTTCAAATAAATGTAATTGAAACATTTTTTTATAAAGTTTTTATACTAAGATATTATATATTTACTGAAAGTATTTTGTGAAAAAGCATTTTGAGTTTCATTGAGTTTATTCTACAGAGCAGGTAAGTTTGTAAATAAAACTCGCAAATATTGATTGAAAGCATTATTGTGGTATTAATTTTGTGACACAACTCTTATGCAATTCAAAAGAATTTGAATATTTGTTTTATTTTCATGGTAGTGACAAAAGAGAAATTATACCCATGACAAAGGAGAGCGAAAGTCCAATAAATGCACATCAATATTGAATTTTAAGATCAAGAATTTGAAATTGAGTTCCATGATAATCAACAGTATTGTAATATTTGAGTCTTATTAATGTATAAAATGAACTTTTAATAATGTGTAATGTTTACATGAAATACAATATTGTATTTGAAAATTGAATAAAGTTGTTAACGAATATTTCTTTTTTTCCTTTTTTCTTTTCTTTTTTTTTTTGTTGCTTTTTTGGTTTTTATCGTAACAAGTGTTGCGTGGTATTCATAAAATGCACAGACAACTGTATAATTATTGGAATATAATTTTCATTTTGGTAAGTAATTTATTGTTCATTATTACGTTTATTGTTATTATTAATAGGCTTTAGTATATATATATATATATATATATATATATATATCATAAAGAAATGTAATTAAATCGTTTTTTTTTTTTTTTGTTTTTCATCGTATGGGATGAATAATATTTTTTCGTAATGTTATAATTTGGAATTAAATAAAATAAAAAGTAAAGGCGATAAGATTTAATGTTGGCGTAGTAATTGTCGTAAAGATTTTTCACCCCACAACTGACAAAATAAATAGATTAAGACAGGAGCGTTAAGGATCATTACCGTATTGACATATTTAATAAATAATTGCCAAACAATTGTTTGATACATAATATGGTAATAATTTATAACAAATAAAATTTTATTTATATCGACGATTATATAGTGAGCATTTAATTATGTTCAAAATATCTGAAATGTCATTTATTTATTTTAAACGATCCAATTTGTATTAAATTTTTTTTTTTAATCTTCGGCATTTATGTTTAATGAAAATTTGTTTAAATTCCTGTATTATTCGGTCTTAAATGAAATACATATAGTAACACTTGTTTATATGGCGTAAGCTAATTGTAGGTAATTTCACGACGAAGGCAGTTATAAGTGCAAAGTCATCGAAATTCAAATTACCCCAACGATTTGTGAGCAACAATGTACCGGTTACGTAAGTGACAAACTTTCCGATTGCGTAACTGTATGGTTAATGTTCAACCTATTAAAATCATTGAATATTACAGGATAGAGTATGGCCAATTCGAAACAAAATACAATTTAATAAATCTTGCCCACGGTTCGCCCGATTTCCTTCCTCCAATATTCATGAGAAATGCTTTACTCAATCTAACGATAAGCAATGACACCTCCATAAATCAATATTCGAACAATTATGTAAGTACACGCGCACCTGATAAAATGCCCATGCATACGCACGCGAATATTTATAATGATGAGGTATTAGTACATACAATTATTGAACAATAAAGTTGTGTTTACCATAAACAAATATTAAATAGTGATTAGTTTCAGCACTGACTTTGATAATTATGCATACGTAAAATATTTACTATTTAAATTATTGAAATGCTCAATGGTATTTGTGATTCCATTGCTTGCATAACCATTACGTATCAATGATAAAAAATTTATCAACATTTTTTCTTTCTTCTTTTTTTTTGTTTTTTTTTTTGTTTTTTTTTTTGTTTTTTTTTGTTTTTTTGTTTTTGTTTTAATTGTTATATTATCAGTGAATGCTATATTAGTAACGAAATGACAATGAAAAACTCCGTAGATGGACGAATTAACGTCGGGACGCGAATAACTTTAAGACGAAAATTTCAATATATACGTTATTCTTGAAAATTTGTCCTCGTCACTACAATGGTTAACTAATAAAAATAATTGCAGCCATTAAAATGAATATCAAGCGACGCGTCTTAATGTTTTTAAAACTAAATTTAACTTAACGTCTTAAATACAATACCATCGATGCCTACTTCATTAGTATTAAAAAATTGGACCTCTAATACCTTACTCCACAGGGCCATTTATTACTTCGAAAATCAATCGCGCACTTATACTCCGAACTTATTAATCGTAATTTGAATCCTGAGAATAACGTAATTGTCACGACGGGAGCGACGGAGGCTTTATACGTGACATTGCAAGCTCACACATCGCCCCAGGACGAGTGGATTATAATGGAGCCTTCGCTCGATTTCTATGGCAATATTGTAAGGATGGCAGGAGGTACACCTACGTACATACAACTATATCAGGTAGGGAAATCGAGCTTTTCTCTCTCGATCCCCACATCCTTTATTCCAGCGCGTAACAATGAAATTTGACATACAACGTCTAATTGACGATCGATTTACTTATTTATATTTTTGCACGCTCGTTTATATTTCGAATTGAGATTTTATTAAAGCTCCTTTCTATCAATGACATAAACATACATTAAAAATACGATAATGTAATGATAATGTGATATTTGTTTAAAAGAACAACAGCACAAGATAGAAATTTTCTAATCGCTCTAATCGTATTGGCGATATAAGTTAAACAATCGTATAAGTGTATTTGTTTGTGTGTCGTTGTTTGTTTTTTTAGATGAATGGGTCTGGAGGACGAGTTAGCTCGCGCGATTGGATGTACGATAAGAAAGAGATGGCAAGATTATTTAATAAGCATACGAAGGGCATCATAATAAATAATCCTCATAATCCAACTGGCAAAGTCTTTAGCAAAGAGGAATTGCAATTCATTGCCGATTTGGCGGTAAAGTGGAATACAATTATAATCGCTGATGAAGTATACGAATGGTTTATCTATGAGTCGAATAATCATATTCGAATGGGTATGGTAGTTGTTCATTAATTTTCAATATATTGTTATTTTAATTATATGCTTGAACATTAAATTGCGCGAGATGGATCGATGTCGATTCGAGGGCAATTTAGAACGAAAACAAATAAAGGGTGAGGGGGTGGGGGTGGGGGTGGGGGTGGGGGGGGGAGAGAAAAGAAAAGAAAAGAAAAGAGAAGAAAATGGTAATCGTTGGCAATAGCGAAGCAACGAATTAACTTACTCAGTTTCCACTCGAACGAACCTTATGTGGCTTAATTGAAACGGCCTAACTTCCATATTGATTGTTAACAGCTACAATACCAAACATGTTCGAGCGCACCATTACAATTTGTTCGGCGAGTAAAACATTCTCCGTAAATGGCTGGAGGATTGGTTGGATTTACGGTCCGTCGGAATTATTAAACAATTTGAGAATTGTACATCCAAATGTCGTTCACAGTAGTCCGTCCCTCGCTCAGGTATACACGCTTTTTCTCCCAATCTATTTAATAAATTTCATATGAAACTTAACCGCTTAACTTTCGCTCTTTATCAAAGCATATATAATCAAAGCATCGAATTAATTTGTCGAGTCTATCGATTGCAATCTAAAATCCTGTGCATTAAAAGTCTTTAACAAGCAAAAAGCACATTAATTTTATCTAAAAATTGCCTCGAGACATATTAGGGTGGGAATAAAGGTATCGCTCGGTTATTATCATTTTGCGTTAATGCGCCTCGACATTGCAATAAGTGCCAGTGATTATTTCAAAACGAAGACAATCGTCCGCTGCACGCATTAGGTGGCAGTGGCTGCGGCGATAAACGAATGCCTCGAGGATTTCGAGCGCGAGGAATCTTACCTGGAGAACAACTCGAGGTGGATGCACGCGAAGAGGAACAAATTACTGGAGCTGCTCTGGGAGATCGGCATGACACCGGTAATCCCCGAAGGCGGTCACTTCGTCATAGCCAATTGGACGGGCTTGGACTTGAAGGCGAACCTTGAAGAGGACGTGGACGAGTTCCTGGATTACAGGTTTACCAAATGGCTAGCCCGGAACGTTGGAGTATTGGCGTTGCCCGTGTCGTCCTTTTATAGCGACGAAAACAAGTACTTGGGGGAGAGTTTCGTGCGATTTTGCTTTGTAAAGGTGAGACGAATTGATTGGTACTAGGGAAGGCTGATGGCTGATCGATGGATTTTCAAAATTATTACGATTCTCGGCATATTTCCATTAACTTCATCCCTATATCGTATGATGATATAATAATCGTTGAGAATTGTTGCTATGAGATAAAAAATGACATCGTTATACATTATGCTATTTGCCAATGAAGTCAAAGCGTCTCGTTGAATATTGAATGGTAAATGAAAATTTGTAGGATTTGAAGGGAAACGGTTTCAAAATTGTTTGGAATCGGCCTCTGACTAGTTCAATTGTTAAATAATAATTGAAAATTGATCGATTGCATCAGTTATTTCTGCATTACAAATACATAAACACTTAACATAAAATTTTCAACAAAAAAAAAAAAAAAATATATATATATATATATATATATATATATATATATATATTCAATTGTTACAGAAAAATAAAACTCTCGAAAAAGCAGCAAAATTACTTATGGAATGGATTCAATGGTAATTCAACGTAATGGCGAAGCTTCAAGAATATTAAGAAGACCGATCCAATCCTAATAAATTCTTCAATACTTATCGAATTTTTACACACTGCAAATTGTGTAAAAAATTAATAGTTGTAAATTTAATTGGCTTTAATGTTAGGGCTACTTTGAATAACAACGACACTTTAATAAATAATGGCGTGAAATAAGAGCGATTAAATTTTATTGTGAAATTTACACTTTGATCGAACACTTGACAACTATCTTCGTTTAACAAGTATTGTAAAATAAAAAATACAAAAACTATTTCATTGTAAATTACACCTCATCTTATATTACATCGTAAAGTCCTACCCTTAAATTTTAGCATTAAAATTTAATTAAAATTAAGAATATTTATATCCAAATTGATATTAAAAATGATATTATCATGTTCAACTATAATTACGAAAATTTTTAATTCAATGCTCGTTAATATTAAACTACCTCCTATTGTGCGACGACTATCCATATTTTTCTAAGGAACCTCGAGCGTTCTTATGTCATTGCTTAGATATGAGATAGATAGATAGAGAGATGGAGAGAGAGAGAGAGAGAGAGAGAGAGAGCAAGAGATAGAGAGAGAGAGAGAGAGAGTTTAAGTTTGGCTATTATCATCCTGAATTTGTATATTTGTCAATTATTAATCTATAATAACAGTTATACTCTATTATAGACAAAATTGGGTAAAAATAAATAATAATTAAATAATCTGAAATATTATTCCGTAATATTTACTTTTATTACAAAATGTCCGTGTTTAGGCTACAACATGTAATATAATAATTGCGTTTGGTCTAGACCTTTACCGAAACGAAGAGAAAAAAAGAAAGCTGAACTGTCCCACGATTTCCTTCTGTTGCATGATTAATAAAATCGCCAAAGTAAAGAGCAGCACTTTGAGAAAACACACATTAGCTAATGTGTATTCCGTTAAAAACTATATATTTCATCTATGGTATTTAGATTTTTGGAGCATCGTAAAAATGTCTCTTGATATAAACGTGAAAAGTTTGCTTCCCCCTCGTACATAGTATATTATTTTTATTTTTATTCTTATTTTTCTTTAATTTTTATATTTTTATTTATTTATTATTTTTTGTTTTTTTATTTTTTGTTTTTGTTTTTTTTTTTTGTTTTTTTTTGTTTTTTTTTTGATTTCTTAAGTATTCAAGCTAACTTCCTAACAGTTGGATCTTTTGTGCGAGTGCTTTCTCGGTTCAGGCATCCATCCTTTGGCTCGAAAACCCGTGTGCTTGCGCATTGACATTTTTGAAAGAAGGATAAGAACGACGAAGAGAGCAAGAGAAAGGGTAGAGGCATTGGGGGGGGGGGGGAATGGATGAGAGGATGAGAGGATGAGAGGATGGGAGGCTGGGAGGATGAGAGGCTAGGAGGATGAGAGGAGAATAAAACAAAGCTCCCGAATGATCTCGAAGAAGCACTCGCCTCGAAGTTTCTGAAAGCGCTACTCAAATATTCCGCGAAGAAAACATACAGAAATCGCCTTCCTAGACGGATAAAGTGACAACAGAAAGTCGAAGACGGATTATACATCGGGCTGTACACAATCGAGAATACAGTTGGATAGTGTAAAAATAATAAAATTAGCTCTAATAAATCATATCTTTTTCACGCTTTACTCTCGCAACTCTCACACTTGCATAATAATTATTTAATTTTTTCTTTCTTCCTTTCTTTCTTTCTTTCTTTCTTTCTTTCTTTGCATCATCACACGTAGTTCAAAAAAAGAAAGAAATTATACGCCAAGCAACGCTAATCCTAAGATAATTGTAATATCTTTCATGTTTATTCATACATATGTATACATACATATACATATACATACATACATACGCGCGCCTGTATTTGTGTATGCTCATATATATATATATATATATATATATATATAGACATACAGACGCACACACAGGCATATGCATACACACATATTTATATATATATATATATATATATATATATATATACACGTGTGTGTGTGTGTGTGTGCGCGCGCGGGCGTGTTTATACACACGTATATAATCTCTATTTATATTAGGTATGCACTTTTACGCATGAAATAACTAAACAGACACATGATTTTATTTTTTTTTTTTTAATATTCATCTGTTGCGCGACACGCGTGGTTCCATTCAAAAATAAAAAGAAAAACGATTTACAGGCAGTCGAAGATCAGGAGAGCCATGCAAATTTTTGTTTAAAATGTATTTTTTAAAGAACCTTTATCAACGACTATTACTTATTATTTGCATCGATAATTGTTCGTGTCTTCGCAAGTCTTTAATTTTATTTAATATGACTATCTTGCATACTAAAACGGAGACAACTTGTTGTAATCGAGTGCAGGAAGCTAATGACGTATAATTTTTTTTTTAATCCACAAATAAACTATTTTAGGTGTAACGTAGAATATTTTATTGCACTGTGGGTAATAAGAAAATAATCGATTATGTCTAAACTAAATTCATTGAAAGACATGAGGAAGTAGTATCTAATGAGTCATTACACGGTTTGTAATCATAATGAGTCCACTGGTTATTTTAAATGCATAAGCACGACAGTTTCAATATAAAAATTCAAAATGAAAATTAATTTAAGCTTTTAATAAGTGATTATCACGATCTTTTTTATTCATTACTCGATTTATATTTGTACTGGACGATCTTGAAAAATTACAAATTACTAATTCTTTTTAACGATTTAAATAATTCTTTTTAATTTAAGTTTATTTATATCATTTCTACATTCCTTAATCTGCAATTTAGAATATATTTTCCTGAATTTAGAATAAACGATATCATTATGACATGTTTAATTAATCCGATTGATGAAATAAAATAGGATAAAAACATTCATTCGTTTGCATATTAACATACTACACGTTAGAAAATTTGTTACACTTAAATTAGTTTTTTGACATTTCCTTTAAATAACTTTTTTCGCGTAATATATTTTGATTAGTCGTCGACAAGAGGCAAATTTCAAATAGATCGATACAAGCGACGTATTGCACATCGAGCAACCTCGTGCTCTTCGACTCGCTTTCATTCGAATTAAATTTATACATATATATATATATATATATATATATATATATATATATATATATATATATATATATATATATATATATATATATATATATATATATATATATATATATATATATATATTTCGCTCTCTCTCTCTCTCTCATACACACACACGCACGCACGCACACATTCACTCTCTTTCTATGACCTTGATTTATACGTTTTGTAATCTTAACAATTAAATTTTTATTCTTATCATCCTCGTATGTCGTTTACATTTTTCTTTTCATTGTATATCAAGTAAAATTTGTAAAATACAATATACTATCGGCTATTATAAATTCTCAAATTTTCATTTTTGTTTCTTTATAAATAATTATCATATAGTAGTAGTCTTCACACCATTTTTTGTTAATTTATGTTATATTTATAATAATAATTATCATCGTCGTTATTTAACACCATCATCATCACTATTTCTTTCGTTATCGATCCTCTTTTCAAAAGTCTCGTCTTTTTAACATTCATTTATTTGCCATTTAAATATTACATTTGTGCCCGTTGCACTATGTCGCACTATACGGTAATTTTTTTGTTTTCTTAACAAATACCTTTTGCATCCTGCTTGACTGTATGTATACAATACATATACATAATATATAATCTAGAGGACTTACTGCATTCTATGTACATATATACAAGCGCTTAAAAAAAGAAATAAAATAAACGGCGCTTTGTCGAAGAATTTCTTCGATATTCATTTTCATTTTTTTTTCTTTTTTTTTCTTTTTTATAACATACAATTGATATTACACGTCCTTTACAAAGGAAATCATGTTAACTGGTAAAAGATTTACTAGGCAACTTCTCTCTATAGTAATGTCTTTTTTCGAACGCTTTGGAAGCAACTCGTTTTTAGTTCTCTCCCTCTCTCTCTCTCTCTCTTTCTTTCTCTCTCAATCTCTCAATCTCTCAATCTCTCAATCTCTCTCTCTCTCTCTCTCTCTCTCCCTCTCTCTCTCTTCTTAATTTTTACTCAAGTCACTTTAATTCTCGTACTCTTTCGTAACTTTTTCATTTTAACTAAAAAAAATATACATTATTTTCATTTACATACTTTTAAGAAAGAAAATGAAAGACAGATTAGAGATAGTAATGATAAAAGAAAGAGCAACAATGAAAAGCATTCGTGCCAAGTTTGCTCGTAATTTCCTTTGCCAGATCATATTTAAAATATTATTATTATTCTTAAAAACAAGAATTAATCACGACTCACTCGAAGAAATTCTTCTCCCTGCACGATCTTCCGAAGCTTTTGGCTTGGGCATTAAAAAGCCCGGCCATCTGTCTTCTATCCTTCGTCATTTTCCGACATATTCGCTAATGCATCGCTTTGTGTCTCTTACTAAGCGTAGTCTTCATTAACGCATGTTTGTTCGCAAGATAAAAAACTCTTGACCGCGTGTAAAAGAACGGTCATCAGTACAAGATTCGCATGCTTCGTCGAACGTCGATATTACGCGCATTATAAAAACTATATTAGAACCGAGGATAGGATAAATGTATATTTGTGTTTAAGAACAAGATGTGTTCATTCTTTATTCATTCGTTGAGGCGGCGGAGTGGGAGGTGATTGGGATTAGGTGGAGGTGAGTGCAAAGTCTGTGCATAAATAAACGTTCAAAACCGAGTGCAAGAAAATTTCACTGTTACATCGACAGCATCACACATATTCAAAAATTTGTAATTTGCTCCGTTTGTCTTGAATCATCATTAAGAAAATCCACTAGTAAAAGTACTTGTCGCAATTGATCATATAAAATGTGCTTGTGCTCCATTAATTATCTGAAATTAATGTGCTTTTCAAAAGCATGATCTCGTAAAAGCCATCAATGATAAAGGCATAGTTGGTTTTTTTCAATTAAAATGATGATTATACAAAATATTGCACAAAACTTCCGATTTATTGGGATTTTTGCTCA